TAAAAATTATTTTATGATGATAATAGAGACCCTCAAAGAGGAAATGAGGAAAACCCTTAAAGAAATAGAAGAAAAAACAAACAAAAAATCCATGAAATAGGGGAAAAATTCAAGAAATAAACAAATCTCTCCAAGAATCTAAAGAGTACCAAGAAAAAACAACCAAACAAATGAAGGAAACAACTCAAACAGTTGAAGGATTGAAAGCTGAAATAGAAACAATAAAGAAAACACAGAACGAGGGGATGCTGGAAATAGAAAAGCTGGGTAAATGATCAGGAACTACAGATGCAAGTGTCACCAATAGAATACAAGAGACAGAAGAGAGAATCTCAGGTGTTGAAGACTCATTAGAAGATATACAGTCATCAACCAAAGAAAATCTCAAAACCAACAAATCCTTGACACAAAATATCCAGGAAATATGGGACACCGTGAAGAAGCCAAATCTGAGAATAATAGGTATAGAAGAAGGCAAAGAAATACAGCTCAAAGGTACAGAAAACATATTCAACAAAATCATAGAAGAAAACTTCCCTAACCTAAAGAAGGATATGCCTATGAAAATACAAGAATCTTACAGAACACCAAATAGGCTGGACCAGAAAAAGAAGTCACCTCACCATATAATAATCAAAACATCAAACCTACAGAATAAAGAGAAAATATTAAGAGCAGCTAAAGAAAAATGCCAAGTAACATATAAAGGCAGACCTATCCAAATTATACCTGACTTCTCAATGGAAACGATGAAAGCCAGAAGATCCTGGACAGATGTCCTATAAACGCTAAGGGAACAAGGATGCCAGCCCAGACTACTATATCCAGCAAACCTTTCAATTACCATAGATGGAGAAAACAAAATATTCCATGACATAGCCAGATTTAAACAATACGTATCCATGAATCCAGCTCTACAGAAAGTGCTAGAAGGAAAACCTAGACTCAATGAAGATAACTACACTCACAAAGACACAGACAATAGATAATCCTACTTTACCAAACACCAAAAGAAAAAGGGAGGAGAACCTACACAAAATAACTCCACTACCAATAAATCAAGCACAAACAAGAATCATCAATCAATGGTCATTAATATCCCTCAATGTCAACAGTCTCAACTTGCCTATAAAAAGACACAGACTAGCAGAATGGATACAAAGACAGAACCCAACCTTCTGCTGCATACAAGAAACACATCTCAACATCAAACACAGATGTTACCTCAGAGTAAAGGGTTGGGAATGGGAAAAGATTTTCCAATCAAACAGACCCAAGAAACAAGCAGGTGTAGCAATCCTAATATCTAACAAACTAGACTTCAAATTAAAATCAATCAAAAGAGATGAAGAAGGACATTTCATATTCATCAAAGGAAAAGTCCACCAAGAAGAAGTCTCAATTTTGAACATCTACACCCCAAATACAAAGGCACCTACATTCGTGAAAGTAACATTACTAAAGCTCAAATCACACATAAAATCTCACACACTAATAGTAGGAGACTTCAACACTCCACTCTCACCGCTATATAGGATCTCCAGACAGAAACTTAACAAAGAAATAAAAGAACTAATAGAAGTTATGACCCAACTGGGTTTAACAGACATTAATAGAACATTCCACCCAAACACAAAGGGATATATCTTCTCAGCACCACATGGAACCTTGTCTAAAATTGACCACATAATAGGAAGCATAGCAAATCTCCACAGATAAAAAAAATGGAATAACCCCCTGTATCTTATCAGACCACCATGCATTAAAATTAGAATTCAACAATAACACAAATCACAGAAACCCTACAAACTCATGGAAATTGAAATAAAAAAAAGAAATTAAAGACTTCCTGGAATTCAATGAGAATGAAGACACAACATACCCAAACTTATGGGACACTCTGAAAGCAGTGCTGAGAGGAAAGTTCACAGCACTAAGTGCCCACATGAAGAAACTGGAGAAAGTCACACTAGAGAATTAATAGCACAGCTGAATGTTCTAGAAAAAAAAGAAGCAAACTCACCCAGGAGGAGCAGATGCCAGGAAATAATCAAATTGAGGGCTGAAATCAATCAAGTAGAAACCAGGAAAACATTGAGAAGAATCAATGAAACAAAGAGTTGGTTCTTTGAGAAAACCAACACAATAAACAAACCTCTGTCCAAACTAACCAAAAGACAGAGAGAGAGAGAGAGAGAGAGAGAGAGAGAGAGAGAGAGAGAGAGAGAGAGAGAGAGAGAGCATGCTAATTAACAAAATCAGAAATGAAAAGGGGGACATAACAACAGACACTGAGGAAATCCAGAGAATCATCAGGGCATACTTTGAAAATCTGTACTCCACAAAATTCGAAAATTTAAAGGAAATGGACAATTTCCTGGATAGGTATCATTTGCCAAAACTAAATCAAGAACAGATAAACAATCTAAACAGATCTATAACCCTTAATGAAATAGAAGCAGTCATCAAAAGTCTCCCAACCAAAAAAAAAAAAAAAAAAAAGCCCAGGCCCAGATGGCTTCAGTGTAGAATTCTACCAGAAATTCAAAGAAGAGCTAATTCCAATACTCACCAAAGTATTCCACACTGTAGAAGCATGAGGCTCACTGCCAAACTCTTTTTACGAGGCTACAATTGCCTTGATACCCAAGCCACACAAAGACACAACTAAGAAAGAGAACTATAGACCAATTTCCCTCATGAGCATCGATGCAAAAATACTCAATAAAATACTAGCAAACCGGATTCAAGAATACATCAGAAAAATCATCCACCATGATCAAGTAGGCTTCATCCCAGGAATGCAGGGATGGTTCTACATTAGAAAATCTATCAATGTAATCCACCATATAAACAAACTGCAAAAGAAAAAACACATGATCATCTCACTAGATTCTGAAAAAGCCTTTGACAAAATCCAGCACCCCTTCATGATAAAGGTCCTAGAGAGATCAGGGATAACAGGAACATACCTGAACATAATAAAAGCAATATACAGTAAATCAACAGCTAACATCAAACTAAATGGAGAGAAACTCAATGCAATTCCTCTAAAATCAAGAACAAGATAAGGCTGTCCACTCTCTCCATATCTCTTCAATATTGTACTTGAAGCTCTAGCTACAGCAATAAAACAACAAAAGGAGATCAAGGGAATACAAATAGGAAAAGAAGAAGTCAAGCTTTCACTATTTGCAGATGATATGGTAGTTTACATAAGTGACCCAATAAATTCCACAAGGGAACTCCTAGAGCTGATAAACACCAAAGCGGCAGGATACAAGGCTAACTCAAAAAAATCAGCGGCCCTATTATATACAGATAATAAAGTGGCTAAGAAAGAAATCAGAGAAACATCACCCTTTACAATAGCCATAAACAGCATCAAATATCTGGGGATAATGTTAACCAAGGAAGTGAAAGGCCTATATATCAAGAACTTTGAGTCTTTAAAGAAAGAAATAAAAGAGGATACCAGAAAATGGAAAGATCTCCCATGCTCTTGGATTGGTAGGATCAACATAATAAAAATGGCTATCTTGCCAAAAGCAGTCTACAGATTCAATGCAATCCCTATCAAAATTCCGGCACAATTCTTCACAGACCTTGAAAGAACAATAATCAACTTTATATGGAAAAACAAAAGGCCCATGATAGCCAAAACAACCCTATACAATAAAGGAACTTCAGGAGGCATCACCATACCTGACTTCAAGCTCTATTATAGAGCTATAGTCCTGAAAACAGCTTGGTACTGACACAAAAATAGACAAGTAGACCAATGGAACCGAATTGAAAACCGTGATTTTTAACCCACACACCTATGAACACTTGATTTTTGACAAAGAAGCTAAAACTATACAATGGAAAAAAGAAAGCATCTTCAACAAATGCTGCTGGCATAACTGGATATTGGTATGCAGAAGACTGCAGATAGATCCATGTTTATCGCCTTGTACAAAACTTAAGTCCAAATGGATCAAAGATCTCAACATAAATCCAACCACACTGAAACTCTTAGAAGAGAAAATGGGAGATACTCATCAACGAGTTGGTACAGGAGACCACTTCCTGAATATAACACCAGTGGCACAGACACTGAGATCAACAATTAACAAATGGGACCTCCTGAAACTAAAAAGCTTCTGTAAGGCAAAGGACACTGTCAACAAGACTAAAAGGCAGTCCACAGAATGGGAAAAGATATTCACTAACCCCACATCTGACAGAGGGCTAATCTCCAAAATTTACAAAGAACTCAAGAAGCAAGTCTCTAAAACACCAAAGGATACAATTAAAAGGTGGGGTACAGAACTAAATAGAGAATTCTCAATAGAGGAGTCTAAAATGGCTGAGAGACACTTAAGAAAGTACTCAACATCCTTAGCCCTCAGGGAAATGCAAATCAAAACAACTTTGAGATTCCATCTTATTCCTGTCAGAATGGCTATAATCAAAAACACCAAAGACAATTTATGCTGGAGAGGATGTGGAGAGAGGGGAACACTACTCCACTGCTGGAGGGAGTGCCAACTAGTACAGCCACTTTGGAAATCAGTATGGAGATTCCTCAGGAAAATGGGAATCAATCTACCACAAGACTCAGCAATTCAACTCTTAGGCATATATCCAAAAGAGGCAAATTCATCCAACAAGGGCATCCTCTCCACTATGTTCATAGCAGCATTATTTGTAATAGCCAGAACCTGGAAGCAACCTAGATGCCCCTCAACTGAAGAGTGGACAGAGAAAATGTGGTACATTTACACAATGGAGTATTACTCAGCAGAAAACAATCAATGGAATCTTGAAATTTGCAGGTAAATGGATGGCACTAGAATAAACCATCCTGAGTGAGGTAATCCAGTCACAGAAAGACAAACATGGTATGTACTCACTCATATATGGATTTTAGACATGGACCAGGATAGTACCAGTCTGCACTTCCATTGACAAAGAGTCTGGGAAACAGGAAAGAACCTAAAAGATATGCATACTACCCAAGAGGCTTTTGTTGCCGCAGCGCCCTCTGCAGCTCGAAGCAGGTGGTGCAGATATGCTAGGTGGCACAGTTGGAAAGAGAAGCTCTTCCGCCCCTGCTTTCAACGGCTTCCCTGCAAGCCAGTGTGCACGCGCACCAGGAGGGCTCGCGACCAGCAGTCAGAGGGTCGTTATTTTGGTGCTGAAGGTGTGAGGGGTCCGGACTGAGTTGAAAACGCCCAGCCCTAGGGTACCATCTGGAGATGTTCTGTCACTTCAAGGATACTGAAAGCGGGAAGAGTCACTTGAGGGAGTATCCGCTGTCATTGCCTCTGGATGGTTTTGCGACTTGGCTCACAGGTATTGGTGACCCCCTTCTTGAGCCTGTCTGCTCCCTTTCCCATATTTCAAAAGTCCGAGTTCTAGCTCCACAAATAAGGAGTCGCTAAAGCCAGGCGTGGCCAGACTGGACTCTTCCCATCCCAGAATTGAGCATGTCATTAGTTTCAGGTCCACAAACACGCAACACTAAAGCCGCTTACCCAGACTTAGTTAGTCCTTCCTTTTAGCTTCACCAGTGAGCAGTACCTACAGGCAGACACAATACGACTGTCCTGTCCCCTCCCCAGACTTCAGTTAAGTCCCGCTTGTACCTCCTGGATATCCTTGGAGTCCGGCAGCTTCCCTCGAGGCTTCGGCGTCCCTTACGAGTGCAGGAGACGCCTACACGTGTTCAATTATCTACTCTCATTTCCTCCACAACATTTTCTACGCAGGAAACCATAGAGTGCATTCATAAAAGTTGAAATAGGCGGGGAGACAGCCCAAATACCTTAAAATACTTTAAATGAAAAGTCAACTCCTTACCATGACCTGTGACATTCGTTTCTACTGATCCAGACTCCTCTGCCACTCCAGCCTGGCCCTGCCATCCATTTCTCGCTCTCTGTGCTTCAGGTATACTCAGTGAGAAAGCAGCTCGGCTCTCGCTCTCCACGTTGACCCCTGGAATGACTGAAGTTCCTGTTGCCTAGTCCTATAGGAACCTGGCACTTTCTAATGATGGAATTTATGGCAGTTTGGTGAAGATTAAAACCACTGTGTAGTGACAGTACTTAATTTGAGCATTTCCAGCGAGGGTCTATGCATTCATTCTTATATAATGTTTTCATTCATGTTTACAGTTAGCACAGAAAGCACAAGTTTCCTTGTATTTTCATGACCGGTATCATTACACTTTGATCGAGTTCACTCATCTCTGTCCTTTGCACCTCCCACCATTTCCTTTCCCTGATTGATTGACCTTATGCATTCGTGTCATGTATTTGTATGTATGTGTGTGGGTATTGTATATACTTAAATTCAGATTCCACACGTTTGAAATACTACTTGCTTGCTTGCATCCCAGTTACCCCCTCCCCTACTTTTAGACCCTTTCTTCCTCTGACATGGTCCCCCTTCTGAACTCTTGTCCACTATGTCACCTTAGTATTTGAAGCCAGGATGATTTTTAATCAGGGACACAGAAGTTCTGTCCACCCCTAGTTTGGGGTATTGCTTATTGGTAGAGACCCTGCCTTGTATCTATTTCAAGATATGGAAACAGGAAGAAGGAAGTAGAGGTGGTTATTAGGAGGTGTATAGATTGAGCAGCAAAAGACAGAGCAGAGAGAAAGGACGTGCCATGTGGGCTTGGGTGTCCATCATAAATATGCCTTCAACCCCTAAGGAGGACACTGGTGACATGCAATCTGAATAACCACAGGCCTTTGTCACAGGTGGAAAGACTATGTCCAATACATAGCAGATGCCTGGGACTCATTTTGCTGATTTCAAAGTTCCTTTGGAACGGTAAGTGAAAGTTAACCGAGGATTCTTTCAGAAATCTAAATTCCCCATGTAGAATGCTCTCCATTTGCCCTTTTTATAGTAAAGTGACTGTGTTATTACTTTACTAACCAGAAATAAAACTCACAGATCAATATGGTCTACTTTCATGTAATCATAGGAAAAGACATCATTCCAATGATCAAACTGTAGCATAAGGTATAAATTAAATTTATGCTAATATTTTTCAGTGTATGAATATGTAGGCTTGATTACACTAGAAACATAAATAGGACAGTACTCCCTGAGTAAAAACTGTGTTTGCTATTGGAAATTCATTTAAAATGAAAAGTGTGAGGAATAAAACTTTAAGAACATTTATGAAATTGGTTTAGGTTCTAAAGCAGACATAAATAGAGCAATTTTGAGCCTATTTTAATGCTGACATTCTGAACTTATTTGGGTATGGGACATAAATGAGTACCCAAGTGCATGCGCGCGCGCGCGTGCACACACACACACACACACACTATATTAGTCTACGTGCTCTAGAAGTACAGGTTCTATATAAAGAATCTGTATGGGGCTGGAGCAATGTCTCAGAGGTTAAGAGCATTCCCAGCAACCACAAGGTGGCTCACAACCATCTGTAATGAGATCTGGTGCCCTTTTCTGACATGAAGGCAGACATACAGCCAGAACACTGTATACATAATGAATAAATAAATAAAAATCTTTTTTAAAATTCTGTAAAAAAAAAAAGAATCTGTATGTCCATCTGTCTATCTAAATGAATTTATTAGAATAGCTTTCTGACTGTGGTCCAGTTAGTCCAACAATTCCTGTCTTCCAACAGAAGGTTCAAGAATCCAGTTGTTATTCAAACCACAAGGCTTAATGGTCTTCAGTGTACACTGGAATCTTGAAGAAATAGGTTCTAATACTTGTAAAGGAATGGGTTTGTTATCGAGAGCAAGATGGAGCAGGCAAATAGGGAACTTCCACCTCCCATGTCCTTTGTATAGACTGCCAGCAGAAGGTGTGGTCCAGACAAAAACATGTCTTCCCACCTCAAAAGATCTGGGTTGTGGGTGTATATTTCCACCTCAAAGATCTGGATTCAAATTGGGTCTTCCAATGTCAAAAGATTTAGTTAAGGCAACATCCTCACAGGAGGTGTACCCAGCCACTTGGGTTTTAGTTCATTTAAATGTAGTCAAGTTGACAACCAGGAATAGCCTCCACAAGTCCACCCTGTGTAAACTTGGCAACCATATCTCCTTATGTCCTACTTAATTTCCAAATGAAAACAATAACCAGGTCATAATTATGCCTTATGTGATATAACTATACTTTATACAACTGCAATGCATTATAAATTTAGAATAGGGATCCATGTCCTTTGAGGGGCATTCTTTCAGTATCTCAAGTTAAATAAGAAGACCACTGATATGCTTTTAATTGGTACTGAATAACAACATAAAAATGAGGAAAGAAAACACAAATATCTGTACAAACACACTTTAACCAAATAAGGCAGAAACACTCAAGTCCATTATAATCTGCATTTCTGAAACTGGTCAGTGGCCCAAGTTGGTATTTATAACTACCTTCTTCTGCTGCCCACTCTGTATTCTCTCCACCCTCAGCAAGCCCTCAGTAGGTCTTGGCTGTTTTCCTGGAGGAGTGACACATACCTTCATTCCTGAAGCATTTGTGCCCTTTGTCATCCTGCATGGAATATGGTAGTTTCCCATTGACTTTAATCTCAGAATATGTGTCTTTCTATGAAGAGACACCATGACCATGGCAACTCTTACAAAGAAAAAATTTAATTGGGGTGGCTCTCTTAATGTTTCAGAGCTTCAGTCCATTATCATCATGACAAGCATGAAGGCAGATGTGATGTATGAGTAGTTGAGAGTCCTGTATCTTTCAGGCAACTGAAACATTGGATGGTATCCTGAGCATAGGCAATCTCAAAGCTCATCCCCACAGTGACCCACTTCCTCTAACAAGGCCATACCTACCCCAACAAAGCCACACCTCCTAAAGTGTCACTCCCTTTGGGGGCCATTTTCTTTCAAACCACCACAATTTGGCAGCACCAAAAGGTGCCCTAGAGGATATCCAGATATAATCTTTCTTGCCTCTGTTGTGGTTAGGCAATCCAATCATCATCCCTATGTCCTGCCTGCAATCATGACCTTAATTTCTTCTATATCACTATGTATGGAGAAGAGAAGTGTGCTGTATTTATATGGATGGAACAGTCTTCGTGGGCAGAAAGGATATTTCCTAAAACCATATGTTGTTAGTTTAAGAAGTCAAATTATGAAAGAGAACATGATAAAAATGCAAAGTCATTGGGATTCCTCCCATGATGCCTTCTTTCACAATACCATCACAAAGGGGATGCAAGGTCTCCCTGTCCCCCTTCTGCCTCCACGTGGCTTCCCCTCCTTCCAACTGCCACCAATGGCCCCATAGACCTCATGTCTCACAAGTGCCTTAAACTCCACATGCCAGCACTGAACGCCCTTCCAAAGTCAGTGCTCCTCTAGACGCCCTGCTCATGCTCATGGGAGGATCACTGCCATCCCCATGAGCCCAACTGCAAGCCTGCCCTGTCACAGACTCTCAACCTCTAGTCCTCATTCCCTGAGTCTCTGAAATCCCACATTCCCACACACGCAGCCTCTCATCATCATTGTTAGCAGCTCCCAAACCTTCCCTAACCCCACCTCAGCCAGCCTTGCAAGCCCCTCATTTTAGCTTCTGGGGTCCGCTCCAGTCACTTTATTGTTCTGCACAAACAACCTGAAGAGCCCTCCCTTCCCTCAAAAGCACCGCTGTTCTTCCTGCACACACCCGACAATGGAGACCGAGGCTCTGATGGGCCATGTGGACACATCTAGCCATCCTTTTCTGGTCCCAACCACAAATCCCAGCCAGGAGGAAGGCTCACTACAGGAGCGCAGTGCACCTGGCCAATGCTGACCCCTCCCCCATGAGATTCCCCTGGGGTCCCTCTTTCCAACCACCATAAGTCACCTCAGGTGTGAGCCCTCTTCCTCTGAACCCTCTTGCTCTGTATTTACCTCCTGAAGAATATAAGGCATGCTGCCTGATGTGAACAAGTGCTCACTTTCTGTGTGATCTCCCATTTGTGTCCCCAGGAACACGCAAACAGTAGTGATCTATACAAGTGAACAGAAAAGGACGAAGGCACAGGAGCCTGCCTCCCAGGTCAGCACATGCCGAGATCCGAGTTCAGGTGTCTGTGATCTCTCCAAATGCAAATAAAACACCTGACTGTGGCTACAGCTGTCACACCCCAGACAGCAGCTTGTTCTGTGAGTTTCAGGTCTTGAAACAACAGAAACACCCAGAAGTACTCTCAGGAAGGAACGGCATTTCCGTGAAGGTCCTCGAAGGGTGCACGTTGTGTACAAACACTTGAAGAGATGATGGAGGAGCTCTTGGGTGTGCACAAAGCCAAGTGCTGCCCCCTGAAGGAAAAAGTGCAATCATCGGAATGAACTCTCTTGGTTTATTTAAGTGCTTCATGTACACAGCTTTTAGGCACATGTCCGTACCTGTCCTATGACAGCTATCCTTTACCCTAACCTCAGTGGGAACAGGAATGCTGAAGAATTGCTTTTAATAACAGATGAAGATTAAAAATGTTTTAAAGCCCTCAACGTTGGGACACAAGCAGTCATGTGTGCTCAGGGACAAAAGAGATGGAATGGCTTGACTCTGCTAAGAGAAAGACTTGGCCAGTGTGCTTCTAAGAGATGGGGAAGAGGACGCCCGCCCTCGGGGAGGTCAGATTTGCTTACATGGATCCAGCCTAGGGTGAGCAGCCCCAGTTCTTCCTGCATACAAAATGGATCTTCCTCACATTCCCGTGACAATAATCAGACTCTCTGTTCTGCTTGGGACGATCGCATATATTGTGATTTCCTCCTCTTTCACGTGTTGAGAGAAAAGAATTATTCACATTTCCCTGGTGCTCTCAGTCCCACACTCTCATAGGACATTGAAGCCCCACCCCGCCTCACCCCACCGCACCCCACCCCACCTCACCCCACCCCACCCCAGTGAAAGGCTCTCATCTTTCTCCCTCAGTCAGTGTATCACAGCCTTGGCTCTTCTGCTTTGCTGGGTGCTGAGAACCTGGGATGTCCCCCTAGTGCATGCTAGGCCTTGCTGGCCGGCTCAGGGTTCTTGAGGTGTTCTGGAAAGAGCCTGGCCCCTCTGCTGCCTAAAGCAGCTTCCTGCTCCAGCCTCCTCGTTAAGTCTAGGTGGGGTTTGCGTCACATCCCTCGCTGGCTTGTTTGGAAGTGAGGAATGGGCTCACGCTCTCCCTCAGTGGCCTGGCCTTGCCTTCCTCACAGTTCCTACATCTCCTAGTGGACACACTGCTCAGCACTCTCTATCCCAGGGTTCCTCCCATCTCTGCAAAGGACTCCACACTGTGTGGACACATACGAAGACCTTAGATGATTTATATTCCCAGGCCCACCACTCAGGGGGAGCTCAGAACAGGACACAAAGGGAACTGAGTCCTCCTCGGTTTTAGAATTAGTCAACGAGCCAGTCTCCCTGCCTCATGCTGGCCTATCTGCCTGCTTGCCTGCCTTCTTTTCCTGTGAGACAGTGTCTCACTCTCTATGTGAGGTTGGCCTTAACCTTGACCTTGTAGGAAGCCTCCAGCTTTAGTTTGTAAGGGGCTGGGAATACTGGCATTAGCTGCCAGTAGAATGAATCTATCACATTGAAACAACTCAACCCAGCACTCGGGAGGCAGAGGCAGGCGGATCTCTGTGAGTTCGAGGCCAGCCTGGTCTACAGAGCGAGTTCCAGGACAGCCTCCAAAGCCACAGAGAAACCCTGTCTCGAAAAACCAAAAAAAAAAAAAAAAAAAAAAAAAAGAAAAGAAAAAAGAAACAACTCAAGGCACTCTGAAAAGCAACCAAGTATGAAGTCATCAAATCCAAAGTGCCCAGGCTTTCTACCCACTGCTCATTCTGTGGAGTGATATATGTAGACCCTGGATATGTTCCTGGAGAGTCACTGGCAGCCAAAGGGAGAAGAAACAGTCTTGGATCAGGAAGGAGTTTTCATATCTTTATCAGTGTACCACACAGGACACCACACCTTTTTATCTCTCTCTGGGTGTGCCTTAGAGCAAACGGAGAACGGGACACACAAATCATGTGTGATGACCACGGGGCACAGGACTCCTGAAGTTCAGAACTGCAATGGACAAAAGAGAGTAGTCAGAGGCCACAGGCCCCTGGGCTGCCAAGCAAGACCAGGAACCCTGGGATAGAAATGGTAAGTCAGTGGGATTCCCTGCATGAACTCTTCTTCCTATTATGATACCTCGAGTGGGTAGAAAATTTCCTCTCAAACATCAGGCCAAGGTGGACTGGGAGCCGTGACTGTGGGCTTTGCTCTCAGCTGGAGTGGATGGAGCAATGTTTCTGGATTTGACTGTGAAGTGATTCTAAAGAAACTTACGTGTGGATTCATGGACTCAGTAGGCACGGTCCACCTCAATCGGGTGGGCAACGTGAAGCCATCTACGGAGTTGCACAGGACAAACTGGTATAAACAAGGACACTTCCTCGGCACCTCTCCCGGGCAGACATGCTTTCTTTGTCCTCAGGTCAAATCTCCAGGTCTGCTGGCCTCTGGGATCTGAGGTGTGGACTTTTGTGTCCCTGCGTCCTCAGGTCTCTCGCCTCAGACCAAAACTCACACAAGAGGCTGTGGTGATATATTATTTATGATTTAATAAGGCTTACTTGAGGATCCCGAAAGCAAAGTCAGCCACAAGCTATAGAAGCCAGGCACACACCTTTAATCCCAGGAGTCAGAATTAAGAGGTAGAAGTCAGCCACAAGCTATAGAAGCCAGGCACACACCTCTAATCCCAGGAGTCAGAATTAAGAGGTAGAAGCATCTTTTAGTTCAAGGCCACCTGACTACACAAGATTGATCCAGTCCTAAAGAGAAACAGCTCACACAAAGATGATCTCAGTCTTTGGGATCACATGCCTTTAATGCCAGAATTATGGAGGTGTACAAGACAGGATCAAGGTCTCAGAGCTGGCATTCATTCTCCAGACACATTGAGGATAGGAAGACATTGAAATCTCAGGATTCTCCAGCCTCATCAAGGAGAGCATAGCAGTCTGGGATTGCAGTCTAAGGCTTGGTAGAGAGCTTGTAGATCAGCCCTTTCAACCTGAGGTCGAGTAAGAGCTAGTGACTGACTGCTTTTCTTCTGAAAGCTTGAAGCTTGAACCCCAATGTTTATCTCTAGGTCTTTTCGGGATCAAGGTACATTTCTTTGGTTCTGGTTGCAGGGCCAAAGTGTGTTTCTTTGGCTCTGCTCAGGGTGTGTCTCTTTGGCTGGTCCCTTTTCCCTATAGTGGTTCCTACAAAAGAGGTCTCAGCCTTTGTAGGTGACCATGCTGCACCAGGGTCCATCTCCCTACTCTTATTTTCTTGACCACCATCTACTGGTCCAACTGGACCAGAGCGCCCCCTTAGCAAATCCTCAGGAGTTTTGTAAAATGTTTTTGATGTCTTCCCAGAAAGTACTGTTCTTTGCCGCTTCCTCTTCTCTTTTTGTTCTACATAAAGGGAAAAGGATCTAGGCTAATACTTCAAATCTCAGAAGAAAAAGCCTTGTCAGCACAGAGATGACCAAAGTGTTGTTTTGTTCAGGCTTGATATCTCAGCATAGAGTCCATGCACCTCCCCATAACCCTGGGTTCTGGGGAACACAGCCACCACCCCTTACTTAGTCGCTGTATGGCTGTCTTCAGTAACAGTTAAGTCTTCTCAGGAATCTACTTCACATGCACGCACGTGTGCGTGCGTGTGTGAGTGTGTATATGTGTGTGTGTGTGTGTGCTGGCTTGCATGCATGCATATGAAGGAGTGTATGCATAGCATAGATTTTCAGTGTCCTCTTCCAGACTGGTCTACCTTGCTTTCCTGAGAAAGGGTCTCTATAATTGGTCTGGAAACTCACACAGTTAGCCTGGCTGGCTGTCCAGTGAGCCCCAGGGGTCAACCTGTAGCTGCCGCCTTTGTGCTGGAGTTGTAAGCACTTACAGACCTGAATTACTTTTTATTCTTATCATTATTAATGCTGGGTCTTTGGGCTAGTTTCAGGTCCCCATGCTTGCCTGGTAAGCAATTTATGGGCTGAGAACCTCCAGCGTTCCTTTTAGTCTTTGCTGTAATCTTGGTGCCCCTTCCTTGTCTGTCACCTATCACCTCCATCTACAGTTTCATTCTGTGAAGTTGGTGCCCCTTCCTTGTTTATCCTCCATAACCTATCATCCCCAGTTCTGTTCCGCAGCTGTGCTGATGTGTCTTCTGTATCCCAAGCAAGGCTGAACAGTTGAACCAGCTCCAGTTACAACATTTGTCTTGGCTGTCTCAGGTGATTTCCAATCAGAAATAAAGCCTCCACTTTTGATCCTGAAGATCACTTGATTTCAGTGACAGGTAGAAGGCACAAAATGTCAAGTAATAAATCCCCTCCATTCAGTGCTATAGAAATGTTTGGATCAGAGCAGCTCAGCCCTTGGCAGACCATCAATACCAGCACCAGAACAGCCCAGCAGCCAGACACACAACAGTGTATGAGCGACTCCAGTGTACATTCCTGTGTAACACCGGAGCACTGCAGAGCTCCGGACTCATCTCCAGGAGCCAGAACTAACTATACCCAACAAGACTCACTGCATACCATCGGGAAGATGAATGACTGCAGGAAGCTTTAGGGCAGTGGTTCTCAACCTCCCTAATGTGAGACCCTCTAATACACCTCATGTTGATGTGCCCCGACCATAAAATTATTTTCATTGCTACTTCATAACTGTAATTTTGCTGTTACAAATCATAGTATAAATATTTTTGGAGACAGGTTTTCCAAAGGGGTCACGTCTCACAGATTGAGAACTGCACCGTTAGGACTAAGTACCCAATCCAAACTTCCCATAGCTGAGATCTGAAACACCGTATGTTCTAGTGAGAATATTCATGGGTCAGATCTCTTTCTGTAAATATGGTAGAAAGTTTACAGATGTCTGTCCTGTAAGAATCCTCCATGTCTCCCTTGTAATGTGCATTCTTTCTGCCAGCCACCTTGGTCCTGCCACTGTCTCAGCCCCCAAATAACACAGAAGACACTATATTAATTATGAAGCTGTTGGCCGTTTGCTATGGTTTCTTAATGGCTATCTCTGACTTAATTATTAACCCATATATATATATATTTCTGACTTAATTATTAACCCATATATATATGCTAATATATATTTTTATAAGGACTTATCTTTCTGAGGACACCCTCCTGACTCATCCTTTCCTCCCAGGAGATCAAATGGCAACTCCCCACTCTTGACTACATTTCCCAGAATCCTCCTTGACTCCTAGTTCCACCTATCTTCCTTTCCTATTGGCCAATGGTGCTTTATTCATCAACCAATGAGAGAGACATATTTACAGAATGACATCTCCCATCATTCCCTGGCTTTGTCTCCCAAATGAACTACCATTAAATCACTGGCAGCACAATCCGAGGGCACAGGCTGTGTCTATGCTTCTCATGCTGACCTTATTTGCCAGGTGTTGTTTGTATTCCTTGGTACACTTCATGTTCTCAGTC